AGCATCGTCTATGCGCGTCGTCCACAACCAGAGTGGTGATGTGTGCCAGGTCTGGTAGGATTGTCAGCGGACGCTCGCCTGTGCGCAGCGTTGTTACCAAGATGCCGTCGTTGTTAAGCTGGGGTCGGAGTCGGGCGAGTTGCGAACTCGCGGGCAGCAGCTCCCGAGAACGCACCGCATCGATCTCACCTGGGTACGCTCGGTTCTGTGCATCTCTGATCCAGAAGCGCAGACCTTCCCTCTTCTCCTCTTGCGTCCTGGCAGTCGCTCAGACTTCGGTCTGCGGCTGTTGGCGATGAATCGGTGCACCCACGCTACTTTGTCTGCCGCCTGGGCAAGGGTAGGGCATGCCGTCACATCGAACAGGTGACACTCCCCACGATGTGTGGTCTGCATTACAGCGCGGACAGGTCTCTTCAGCTCCAACTCTGACTCCGGAGTGGGACTGAGACGATCAGGGGTAAGTGACCGGGGTAAAGGAACACCAGATGTCGAGTCTCGTTGAAGGAATGCGGGGCCTCCCCACCACAGGTCACATTTCTCCAGCGTGCAGAGTGACATACCCATAGTGCCCAGGTCAGCTGGACTGTCTGCTCCTTTGACATGTCGCCATTGTTCAAGACAGGACAGTTGCAGAATAGAGGTCACCCTGTTCTGCACAAACACCTTCAACGTTTTCTTGCTCTGTAGCCAGTCCATGGAATCTGTCCAATAGATGATGTGTGGCTCCTTCAGGTGGAGAGCCTGCTTGACAAAATCCATGAGTCGACAGCCGAGCACAGCTGCCATCAGCCCGAGCCTAGGTATGGTAACGGCGGGGTCGATAGGAGCCAGTCGGACCTTTGCCATCAGAAGACGTGATTTACTTCCCTCTACAGCGTATACGGCACAGCAGCACGCTCTCCTCGACGCATCGCAGAACACGTGGAATGTTGGATCACCCGTGGAGCTCAGAGCAGCGCGAGGAAATCTCACGAATCGGTTCGCCGTGTCGCTACACCATATTCTCACTTCCTCCTGAAGTGCCTGTGGAAGACTGGCGTCCCACTCGGCTGTCTTTGTCTCCTTCCAGATTCTCTGAAATAAAACTCTGCCGACGACGAGCCATGGTGATAACGCGCCTAAAGGGTCGAACGGCTTCGACACCGCCGCTAACAGCTGTCGTTTGGTGGCTGGGCAGTCCATGATGGGCACGCAGACTACGAGGCTGTCTGTGCTGGTACTCCACAGCAATCCTAGCACTTGTGCATCGGGTGAACTGTCACCAGAGGTTCGCAGCTTGTGGAGGTTCATGCATGCTTCTGAGAAGATGTCTGCCGTCTTCTTCACGTTCTGATTAGCCTCTGCTCTGGTGGCGAAGGTGGTACAGACATCATCCATGTACAGGCCAGCTTCTAACTTCTCACAAAGCTCTGGTTCTGAGCCGCGGTATTTCGCCAGGTGAGTGGAGATCGTCTGTAACAATGTATGGAGAGCACGACAACCCGAATGGCACACGTTTAAACCTGAAACATTGGTTAGCCCAGATTAACTGTACATACTTTCGATCCTCTTCGATGACAGACACCTGGTGGGAAGCGGACTTTATGTCGGCTTGTGTGGCTACATCGTCTCGACGAAAGTTCAGCACCACAGCAGGTAGGCGTCGCAGCTGGTTAACACCAGGGTCTAGGTATTCATTCAGACTCCTGCCTGAAGCATCCTTAGCGGAGCCATCATACACGACTCTCAACTTGCCGTTTCGCCATATTCCTCTGTGGGGTAGATAAAAGCCAGCCGTACCTTCATTGAGTACATTCTTGATAACCGGGTGATAAGGAAAAATTTTGGGCCGACGATATTTTTCGAAAAAACTCAAAATTTTGAAAATGTGATTTGGGGTTAAATAATGAAAAGGCATGGTCCATTTAGTGTGGGTATGAAGTGGTAATTGTTTCTGTGCATGTAAACAGTTTCTACAGCACTTGCAAAGCTGAAGCTAGCGCGGCTTGTGAGTGTTTTTTTCGAACAACTTCAAATCTATATAAGTGATAAAGGTTCAAGTTCCACTATCATATTTGTCATGCAGTTACGCGTCTAATGACCCATGATGCAATGATATTTTATCCCTTGGCAACTGCACCGTGTTTTATGCGTTATTTCCGTAGTTTTGTTTCTCAAACCCGTTCCGTTTCAAAGCAGATTGCACGTGGAAACGATACACAATGATGTAACAAACGTTCGGTGTCGTTATTGTGAACATGGAAGTATACACAAATCGCGCCAGGGCAACTTTGTTGCAAAAAGAGTCAAAGTTCAGAAACGGGTGTTTTTCGAATCAATGGAAGGCCAATGGTAAATTCAGCGCGCTTACGAACCGGGTGCATGTTCTGAGCCGATTTACGCGTTTTGCACGAAATCGCCATTTTCAACGTGATTCCACGTTGGTTGTACCTAAGTTAAAACCCATCGGCATTGGACAGTTTATGTCACACCATAGCATAGGAAGGAAGTTCTGCGTCAAAACTGGTGTAACGCAACACATTGGAATAATTTCAAAAGCGCCGTTTTTGGTGTAGTTTTTTGGGCGTGAACACTTTTTTCAAAAAAGCCCGATTTTAAACATGCGTTTTTATCAAATAAAAGGGCATGGCAAATTTAGTGCCTGTATGAAACGGCAAGTGGTGCTGTGCATGCAAACAGTTTGTACAACAATTGCAATATCTACAGCCAGCGCGGCCGATGAGTGTCATTTTTCTTCAACAAACTTCAAAAGCATAGAAGTGATACAATCTCAAGTGACACCATTGTATTCGCCGTGCGATTACGCGTCTAATGACCTATAATACGATGAGATTCCACCACTTTGAAAATGCTCCAGTCTTCATGCGTGTAATTTTCCATGTTTTTTTCTGAAACCCACTCCTTTTGAAAGCCGTCGTTAACATCAAAATGAAAATAAATCTCGACACGGCCGCTGTGTCCCAAAGAAAGGCAAAATTGAAAAACGGATTTTTCCGTATCAAATGACGGCTAATACTAAATTCAGCGCGTGTACGAAGCGGAAGCATGTTGGGTGGCGGTTTACGCGTTTTTCACGAAATGGATATTCTTCGACAGATTTCCATGTTGGTTGTACCTAACTAAAAACCCCTCGGCATTGGACAGTTTATGTCACACCATAGCATGGAAAGGGAATTCTGAGTAAAGAATGGGTGTAACAAACACATTCGCAGAATTTGAAAACGGCCGTTATTTGGTTAGTAAAACGTTCCAAGCTGATTACGCGTTTTCCAGGAAATCGTTATTTTTCGACATAAGTCTACGTTGGTTGTACCTAACACAAAACCTAGCGGCATTGGACACTTAATGTCTCACCGTAGCACGGGAAGGCAATTCTGCGTCAAACAGGTGTAACCCAACACATTGGCAAAATTTAGAAACAGACGTTTTTTGGGTAGTAAAATGTTCCAAGCTATTATCTCTCAAACTAACGAAAATAAAAGACCGCTCCAATTTGCAAACGTTGTAAAACGATGGGGAAGTTGTCACTGCATTCTTAATCACCGGATGAGGCGAACAAATTTGAGCTGGAACATTTTTCGAAAAAAATTCCAGCAGATTGACGGGCAAGCAATACACAATGATGCAAGAAACATTCGGTGCATTTCTTGTCAATATGGAAGTAAACACAAAACCCCCACAACCACAGGAGCCGCAGTCCGACCAGCAGCAGCGTCAGCAGGCCCAGCAGCACGCCGGCGCCGGCCATGTGCGCGGTCAGCTGGAACATGGGCCGGTTACGCAGCGCGCGGCTGGTGACGATGACCAGCACGGGCACGCCCGAGTCGACGATCGTCAGCAGACAGATCGCCACCAGCGTGACTTTGTACTCCACCCGCGCGTGCATAGCGACGCACTGCGTCGGATCCTTCAGAGTCGGACGCGTCCGCAGCCGCCGACATTATCTCGCCGAGTGAGCTGAAGCCGCCAACACTTCCTTGCTGGTAGCCGCTAAAAGCGCCGACTGACTTGTTGCCATGACAGCTGTTGGTCGTCGCCCCGAGTGCATTGTTTTTCGTGGAGGTTTAAAGTGACCCGATATGCCAGCTTTAAAAGAACTGTCTCGCGTTTTTGCGCCATGCCCTTGCACCAAGGAGGCGATGACAATGTTGACATTTTTAGAAAGTTTGACATGGGCTTGTTAAGGCTTTGCAACAAATTTTATCCAGGGGCTTACTCCAGGCTACTCCAGGCGAGGCTTACTCCAGAACTTTAGAACTTGGAGACTGAAAACTCCGCAGATATCAGAAACTTTAGTTTCACTGCCGAACTTTTTATTCTTAGTTTTACATGAAAAACAGTAGAAAATAAAAGAGAGAGTTCCATCATTCTTTGGTCTGAGCTCCTTCCTGCCATAACCATTGGGGATAAAACTAATGTAGCGTGCGGGGTCTAGTGTTAGCGCCCCTAGACCCGCCCTTGCGGCCGGCCGCCTGGGGCGGTGACCTGCGCGGCCGGCTCGCGGAGGAAGTACACTCTGACCTGAGACGTGGACGCGTGCGGGAGGGCGCCGGCAGACAGCAGACAGAGGTGAGGCAGAATGGCACAGACTTGACATTGGCACGGTCGGTAGGACCTGCCTCTACAAAGAGTAAGTCCTTTGGGTTTGATAT